GCATAGCTGAAGGCTTCTCGAACAAAACATCAATGCCTCCTGCAGTGTTCAGAAGGAGCCCCGCAGAAGTCCCGAAGGAACGCCTAAGAGAGGCCTTGATGTCTTCACGGCAAATGATCTCAAATGATTGGTGGCGAGCTTCACATAGCACGTTTCTGCGTCAACTCATGGGAGCCTCCAATAGTTACGTTCTCTTGCGAATCGATGCAACGGAATTGCGAGGGTACTCGAGGTTCCCATTGTCCAGAGTATACTTCCCATTTCACGAGCGGCCGACGATCGCACCTCACGAATCCCATAACATTGAAGCCACCACTGTGCCTTCAGCATCTGATAGGCCGCCCCAACGCTCGTACACATGGTACTGACAAGAGGGCGAACGAATTCCACGACCCTTGGACTTGCTATCGGTCGGACGTCCACTTGCCGTGCATTGCAAGATGATCCAACATGCTCCAAGATGGTCAAGACTTTCCGGGGCGCTGCAGGCGTTTCCCACGTGACCCTCCAGAAAGCTGAACCCGCCCAAACCGACTATACGACATTCCCCCTGTCAGTGGTAAAGTAGAACGCTCTGCAACTAGAGGGAACTGCGCGACCCCGGTATCGTGTGGCAGTTTCCTGGAGGCATCGCGGCAGCCCCCTTTGGATTTCAGTTCAGCGCTTGACGCCGCCATGAACTCATACCACTACATATCTCTCCTCGCTGCTCCCGCAGCGCCGCGTCAGACGCTGGGATTTCGGACTTGGGCCTTTGGCATTGCCGTACGAACAAGCCATTCCTCCCCTTCCTCCTCCTCCCCTTCCTCCCCTTCCTCCTCCGCCTCCTCCTCCTCCTCTCTCCTCCTCCTCTCTCCTCGCTTCCCCTGCTATGCCGTGGGGCCCACCCGCCACGCCTTCGTGGATCTGGTCAGTCAGCGGGCGTCCTGGCGTCCTGATACAGCGGGCAACGAGCAAGAGGAGGCAAGCTCGTGGGGGGGGGGATGTCCAAAGCACTCCATGGCCGTGGCGTTCACGTGGGCGCGCCACATTGTGAAGGGACCCGGGCAGGCACGCATCAATCTGCACAAATGTAAGGATGCGGCAGATCTTGTCAAATTTCCTTGATTTCCCTTTGCCCCACAATTTCCCCATATGTTCAGATACCTGCGTGGACATATTATGATGTGATGTGTCTTTGCCGATTTCCCTCTCCTGAGCTCAAGTAGGCGCTCCACCCGAATGAAGGGGCCCAGGGAGACACACACAGAAATCTGCACAGAACGAGCCATTCCACAGAACGTGTCGTATTTCCTAGATTTTCTTCTACCCCGCAATTTTCGGTGATTCCCAACCATCCTGTGGTGTCGGATCCTCGTTTTGAGAAGACAGCGCCCCACGTTCTCCTCTTCCTCTTCTCCTCCTCCTCCTCCTCAACCTCCTCCTCCTCCTCTTCCTCCTCCTCCTCCTCCTCCTCCTCCTCTCCCTCCTCCCTCCTCCCATCCCTGACTCTGCTCTCCACATGTCATCGCCGGGGCTCGTGGCCCCGCGGGGAGTTCCACTGAAGGCCTCAGAGGCGGTGTCCACATGCGCCCCCCCCCACACAGCCCAGTGCTGCGTGGCCCCATGGGGAGATCCACCTTAACGCCCAGTGGCGGTGTCCACATGCGTCTCCTCCACACAGCACAGCGCTCTGTGGCCCCGAAGGGAGCTCCAGTTAAAGCCCAAGCGGCGGTGCCCACATGCCTCACCCACCCAGCATACGGCTTCTGGGCCCCATGGGAAGCTCCACCTAAGGCCCCAGTGGCGGTGTCCACATCAGTCTCCCCCACCCAGCACAGCGTTTCGTGGCCCCATACTGGGCTCCACCTAAGGCCCAGCGGCAATGTCCACATGCGTCTCCTCCACCTGGCACAACGTTTCGTGGCCCCATGGGGACCTCCACCGAAGGCCCCGGTGGCGGTGTCCACATGCGTTTCCCCCACCCAACACGGCGCCTCGTGGGCCCAGACGGAGCTCCACCTAAGTCCCCAGTGGCGGCATCCACATGCGCTT